CTGAGGCAAACGATGGTTTGGCATACGCAACACATGTCCCAACCGACGCAGCTTCTGGTGCTGGACACATTCTTCAATGGAAGTGCCCGTTGCAAAACAGAGAACGCGCTTTCTAACTGCTGTGACATTCACAAAGCTTTTCACATGAGGCAGAGGCCTGACTAGAACAATCTCACGGTCTTCCAGGTTAGGGGTTGGAACAATGTGACAACGTTCTTAAAGCAGTGGACTAATCTGGCGGTCTCACGTTAACCATCTTGCGGTTAGGCTTTTGAGCCAAAGGTTTTGGTTGAGAATCCCAGTCGTCCTCGTTTCTGGACTAAGGTGCCCTGGTTGCACACTTGAAAGCAATTTCTCGCCCTTACATGCCCTTTGGAATTCAAACAGAAGCACTGGGAGTTGTGGAGGATTGTACATACCTCGGGGTCTGACGGAATCAGTGCAAGAATCCCAAAGACTGGAATCAACTTTGCCAATTCGCGTCAATTGTGGCGTCAAAAAGTCATACCACAGGGTCTTAAGCGTCGCTTGTACAAGGCTACAGTAAGGGCTGTGTTGTTGTCAGGTGGCCTCTGCGGGCAGATGATGTGAAGCGCTTTTAGATTGTTGATCATGGATGCCTCAGAAGCGTTGCTGGTATCGGCGAATGCCTAACGAGGCAATTAGAAAACAGGTATTTGGTTGTACATCAGGCACTTCAATCCCGCCAAGCATCCAGCATCGTCAACTGCGTTGGTTCGGCCATCTACCGAGACGAGTGTAGTTCTTCCTGCCTACTTCGGAATGCAGCGAACTAGGTCGATGGCGTGTTGTTTGGCTGAAGGGATTGAAAGAGGTTACCAAGGGCTTAGGTATTGTCAGTGAAGACCGCCTTCCTGCCGACCCCCCCCCTTGCGCCTGGCTAGAGGCATTGCAAGGAATAGCGGCTAACTGAGGCGACTGCAGTTCGTGGTGTCAAGTTCTTTCCGGAACACCAGGATAGGTAGGCACCTCAAAACACTTGCGATAGGCCAGCACTAAATCTCATACGTCGCCCACGTTTCGAATGTAATGAGACAAACTTTCCGGCTGTACGGCAGTGGGGCGCCAACACTGATATTGCTGTCCCTGATGAGGACGGCGATTTTGTAAGTGATTCAACGGTTGTCAGTTTACTCTCCTCGAAGAAGATGATATCAACTTCGCACTCCAGATCAGGAACCTTTTCTAGAGGGATTGTTGTGCGAGCAATGTTGTGCGGATTACGTACGGGTCATACGTACTTTTGGGAACATCTACAGTAGTTGGATTTATGTGGCTATCTGAATTTTTGTTATCCTTGATATCTGCAGAGATACAATGCGAAGAAAAGGCATCTGTGAGTTGCACGGCGGTGAAGCATCAGTATCAACACTGATATTGCTTCCCTGACGAGTATGATGACCGTGAAGGGACCAGTCGAAAACTGTCGATTCAGGTGGGGCTGGGCACTGTACACGGTTCTATCAGCTGGCGCTCGTCTGTAAATTAAGGTCCATACGAGTTCTCTGTAGCCAGAAACCTCGAACCAAATCTGCCCATGTTGGAACTTACGAGGATTTGGACGAGGTTGACCAGATACACACAACTCCCCCCAGTGGAAAGCAAAGAGAGAGAACCAATGGGAACACACACGCATCGGACGACTGTAGGGTGAAGCTGCATGACCCATGTCAACAAACAGCGCTATAAACGACGCTCAGTATACACAGTTTACGGATATTCCTGTGGAATACATGTCACGTGATGGACCGTGACTCCAACTGCAACCAGAGGTGACCAGTTTCTCAAATGTTGTTGACTTCGATGACAGAAACAATCAGAGTAACTCACCTAAAGACTTGTTGCTGTGTGGGCCCGTTTCCCGCAACATCGGATTTCGAAGCCAAAATACGGCGTTCGGCGACCAATGCACGCTAAAGCGTAAGTAATTTAAGCGATGAGCTTTGAAAAGCACTCAAATGCATGCAATGGTGATTAGTGCTCAGATGAAAGGTCAAACAAAGACTTGGTGATTGTCTATCCTAATCGAACGGCTAGACAGCTCAAGCAAGAGCGATTGGCTGCCAAAAGTCGTGATTGCAGCTCAGATGCAGCCAAAAGCCCAACTAATAGGAGGATGACATTGGCGGACCATTTCGGCCTCCGTCAGACGGACACTGGATTAAGAGGGCAAGGAAGACGGTGTTCCAAACGAGAATATGCGTTGACATTCGATAAGAAACAGAGATTCAAACAAGGAGACTGAAGAAAATAGTTGCGACATAATAAAGCCATGTACGGGGTTTCAGATATTGGTCGGCGATGGTAACATACATTTGTTCGTTCGAATGTCCCTAAAACCGCGTTAGTTGCAGCGTGGACTGTGAACAGGCTGGAATGACGCTATCACTGTATATCAACAGTGAATGCTTACAGCCAAACTTCAAAGGGGCTGTCGCGTTTGGCTGAAACGAGCGACTCCATAAGAAGAAAAACTGCGTTGGTGTGACACATTTGTATAAATCAGCTGGACGTAGCAGGCATAAAGACAAACTGAAACGGCGAATACTACGCGAAGCAAGATGGAACAGTCCATTAACCAACTAATCAACACTTCACTGCATGAACTCATTTCAAACGGCACGAGAATCAATGGATGATGAGAAGCTAACCTTTTCCCGGTCGGATAACGCCATAAAGCGTTGTCTTTCGGCCTCCTCTTCTTTCTGCTTCAACAGCTCCGCACGCTCCACAGCCTTTTTCTCCTTTGCGCGCTGCCTCTGTTTCCGCAAGCGCTCGCGGTCCCGTTCCGCTTTGGCCTTCTCCTTTGCGGGATCCAATGGAGCGGGAATCTGGTGGAGACAAGAAGAAACCAGCCTCAGTCTAATGTTGGTGAGATGACGCACACCACGAAAAGATAACAGCAGTCAAAAATAGTGATCTCCTGTAGACGACCTTGATGGAATGTATCCTGGAGGAAGAGAAGTCGCTATGGAAAAATCGGTTCCGATAAAGTATCCTCTGGAGCAGGCTCATTTAAGTTTGATTTATTACATGGTTACCATGTGAATAGGCGTGTTAACTCATTAATTTGGTTGGAGGAGGCGCCCAACCAATAAACCAAAGCAACAAGTTAACCGGTGAACGCTGGGACACAGCGGAGAAAATAGAGCAGTGCAACCAACCAATCAAATTCGAGAAAGTCAGACCACAACGCAACACACACGCAACGCACACTCCTGTAGAACGGATATCCTGAATGGCTCGTACTCAAGACTGTGGAATCCGTCAAGCCCAAACCTACACAATGTTCTGTTGGTAAGAAGTCCGTATACATGAGGCTTCCATTCAAAGGTTACTCGGTTGCTGAACTAATCACCAGAACGCTTAGAAACTCTGTTGATACGACATACTTGACTGCTAATCTGTGTTTGAGCTTCAACTCCGGCCCCACTATCAAACTCTGCTTGAAGGACAAATTGCCACATTCTACCATCAGCTTTTGTGTGCACTCATTTGTATGCTCATGCCGAGCACCATACGTTGGTCGTACGACAAGGCATTTGTCGAAAAGAATGCGAGAACACA